AGCAGAGTGCTTAAGAGTACAAACTCTGAAATTAGACTGAAGGCCAAACTATATCATCTGCTAACTCTGTGAAAAACTTTCTGAACCCCATTTTTCCTTCTCATGTAATTACAATAGCATCTGTTTCCAGGACGCTTGTAAGAATAAACTACATTAAATAATACTTACAAAGCACTTACTATAGAGCATAGCTCATAGTACATATACAAATACAAACAAAAAAAACCCCATAATATTTTTAAAAGAAACACAAAATAAAACGTGAATCAATGTAGTACTTCTATGAATTTTTTGGGTTTTGTTTTGTTTTTTCCTTACTCTAATTATCCTGTTTCTTTTTTTATTTTTAAACACTGCTCTAATTTGCTATCGTTCTGTTCTTTATTAATTGGGAAATAAACCGAAAAATATTTTTTTGTACTTCAAAAACAAGTCTAGAGAGAACGAACAAGATGGCAGAGAGGGCAGAAGCACAGTGAAGAGCTCCGTCAGCAACAACACAGAATACCGGACCAAGCAGGCTCAGGGGATGGTGCCAGAACTCTGAAGCACATATAAAGGACTATTTGTAAGGTTGGAAGGCTTATAACTAGGGGAATTTGTAGCAGAAGCAAAAAATCCATTGCTTTCTAATTCAAGACACTCAGCTGCTCCCGGAGCCACCATCTTGGGTTAAACCAAGCAGGGAAAGGATCAGAACAGCCACAGATGCCTGAAAGATCCACAGAGATAAAGGTAAGGACATTCTTTTCTTTTCTTTTTTTGGTATCTGTTCATTAGACTCTCGCTGTACAGGGGTAAAAAAAGAGTCCCTGCTGAATAGATTTCATCTTGTTTAGATGGCTCTGGAGAAAAGAGATGGGGATAACATTCGTATGATTCAACAGTGAATAACTGTTATCATGTCTAATTGCAAATGTCAAAATTGTAAAGGTAGAAGCTTTGTAGCAAAAACAGGGGAGTGGTTAATCTTACAGTCCAGAAACAGAGAACCTTAGGACCATCAAGGGAGAAGAGCACAAGCAGAATGCAAGACCTTATCAAGAGAAGTAGCTATGCCAGAGTTGGAGGCAGAGATGGTGTCATAGAGAGGGGGAGTAGCTGAGGACTCTAAAT